AATTCAAATTTTCTTTAAAAATTCATTTAGACTCAAGATTTGAATAAACATTTGTCTGAATACATGAAAGGACTAACCATCAAAGTATTTCGTACATACAATGCATCTTGTACCTTCCAAATTGAGCTAAAGAAAGGGATGGAGAATGCTACTACTGTAACAGAGAAAATAGCAGCATATAATAAAGCAAACAGACAGGTTGCTATTTTATGTAACCATCAACATTCCGTTAGCAAAGATCATGATAATCAAATCAATAGAATTGACAATAGGGTAATTTTTTTTTATCATGATTGTTAATTTCTTAAATAAATTCACATGTATGTACTCTTTAATATGTTAGGTTCATGCTTTGAAATACCAAAGAAATAGATGTAAAATGGAATTGTTGAATCTTCATCCCAGATTAAAAAAGAGCAAGCCTCAACTATTTGAACCAGAATCAGACATGGAAAAGGAATGGATAATTGAGCATGAGAAGCAATTGATGGAAAGGGAACATTTGGCAGTTGTAAAAAAATTTGAGAGATAATAAAAAGCTTACAGAAGAAGGAAAGTCACCTAAACCTGATGAGAATCTTAAACAATTATTAAAAAACATTGATGAAAAAGAGAAGGTGTTGAAGAATGAACAAAAATCTGGAAAGGTCAGTCCAAGAAAAGGACAAACAAGTGAAAAACTCCAGATCCAAATAGAAAAATTGACAGAACATATTAAAACCACCAAGTTATTAAAACAAGATAAAGAGGACAACAAGTCAACTGCATTAGGCACATCAAAAATCCATTACCTAGACCCACGGATCTCTGTTGCATGGTGCAAAAAATATGATGTGCTGATCACTAAAATTTTCAACAAACCCTCCGCGAAAAGTTCCAGTGGGCATTGGACATAGATGCAGATTGGGTGAGTATTTTTTTTTTTAATTAATTTTATTAAATAATAATATATTTAAAATTATTTTTATTATTTTATAGGAATTTTAATCATTGTGCAGTTATTTTCATTTGGCCGTTTTTTGCTTTCGTTATTTTAAACTCGTGAATTTGTACATTGTGCTTGGTATTAAATCTCTGCCTGGTGGATGGTTATATTTTTTGTGCTGATAGAAATTTTTTTATAATTTAGATCTGATGATAGTAAGGATTCTATTATCATCATCATTAGCTATATTATTATTATTATTAATTTAGATTATAAATATGAAAGCTACAATTTATATATATACTCCCTCTATCAATTTCATTTTAATTATAAAATAATGATAATTTTATATTATAATTAATAAAAATAGAGACAAGAAATTTCAGAGGACTAAAGTTTAGTGATACAAAATAAACTTATTTTATTCCTGTAATCAATCCAAAGATATATAAATTCATGCTAAGCTTAAAATCTTGTTTTCACTTTGGCATTGACTTGGTTGTACTGGTTTTATTCAATTTCAATCTGGCTGATACTTTTCTAGTTAAAAAAATTAATTAATAATAATTTCTGCCGATCGGTATATATATTCGCGTTCATATATATAGCCTCCTTTTATTGGAATATTGTTATTATTATTATTATTATTATTTTCTCATAAAATTTTTCCCTCTTTCCTTTAATTTTGAAATGTTCTCGGAATTATTTTATTATTATTTTGTTGTCATTTTCTTTATTTTTTATTTTATTAATAATAATTTATGTACTTGCTTATTTCTTTAGTCGAAAGGCTTTTCCCTTGGAAATTCGCTAAGTTTTTTTTATATTGTTTGTTTATTGTTATATTGTTTGTTATATTGTTCACATTTTTCATCGTTTTTTTTATAAAAAATTTTTTTATAGTTCTTTCGATCCTGCTTTTCTCTTGTCAGTTCTCTTTTCTCCCAGTAAGAGTAGAACTGTGGACCGATACCCTTTTGAATTCCTTTTAATCCCACTTCTCTGATCTTTTTGATCACCGGATTTGATCCCCGGCTAACATTCATTTTTATGAATTTTTAAATTTTCCCTTTCCTGTTCTAAATTTTGTTCGACTATCGTTTTCTTTCTTTTTACTGGTTTCTTGGCAATTCTTCCAGTTTATCGAAAAGAATTGTCATTGTTAGCTGGCAGGTGGCCACCTTTTGGTAAGTTTTTATAATATTTTCATAATCCCGAGAACAAAATTATAATTTTAATAATAAAATAAATTTTGAAATATATATTTAATATTTGTATTTATTGATTTGTATTTTATTGATTTGTATTTTATTGATTTGTATTTATTGATATTTATAAAAATAAAATCCAAATATTATAATTATTGCTACAGTGAACCCTCCCTAAGTGCACCCTCCCTAAATGCACGCACTATGTATACCCTCCATAAATGCACGGCCCATCTCATCCCCAAGCTTATAGAGAGCTTATAAAATCACCCTCCGCAAATGCACACCCTCCATAAATGCACGCTCACAAGAAATAGCACTATGTTCCCGAGGGGGTGCACTTATAGAGGGTTCACTGTATTATTGTTATTATAACCATTATTATTGGTCGCGAGCAAAATAATTTGCAATAAAATAAATTTGAATGATCGATTCGTATTTGGGGGGTGCTCTGGGAAAAACGGGATTTCGAGTAATATATTAAAAATTTTTTTTTGTGCAAAAGATTATAATGTATTTTGCGCAGAATATCCAATTTTATTGGTGGGTTGGCCTTATTTAGAAATCGATTTGGAGCTAAATTATTATATATACTTCCTGTTTTTTCTGCAAAAGTGCAAAACGCTGATCAACAATGTTCAGTGTCAAGCTTTGGTGACGGATCAAAAATTATATGAATTAATAAGCGTCATATGTCATTTTAGCTTTAGCATCGTTGTTCCCTTCCTTCATTTTGTTGCCATTAAAAGGTGAGAGACGAAAAACATCAAAAGTACATCACAATGCTTGTTTCACACGACAAACATAGTATTACTAATTGTTACATAGAGAGAAAATGCTAATAAAACAAAAATTAAAATAGTATTAATATAAAGCAATTGTTGCATCTCTAACTACTAAATGTAATTTTTTTTAACCTTAAGAGAATCTAATAATTCGTTAGCACTATTCTTCCCGATAATCTTGCGGTGAAGGTGTTCCTTTAGTTAATCATCAGTTAGCTAACAATGTTCGATAAAGACATCTGCATCAACTTTGTCCTACCAATTATACATGTAATTATTTTCGTCTTTAAAAGAGAAACTTACAGTAAAACCGTCTCTATTTTTCTTTTTATTAATTGACACTTTTTACACATGCTAACTTATATCTATAAACAAAATTTATATAGTCAAAAGGCGTACCATGGTATCGACTCTTGTTAAGATAGTTAAATGGTCGAATTAAGGAAATCAAGTTCGTTATAAGGTTTCCAATCGAAACTACCTCTCTTAGTAGCCGAAATTACCAAAACACTTTGCGCAAAAATTAATTTTTTATAGGCCCAAACTATTTTTATTAATAGCCTAAATGGTGTGAAATTATTTAAATCAAAATAGGTTGATTTGTATGGTTTTTCCATGTTGATTCTTATAAAAAAATATTGAGAAGCCCAAACTATTGTCAACACTACTTTATTCGAAAATAGTTTGGACCGGAAACCTTAGTTCGTCACTCTATTAGAGAAATGTTTGTGTGATTCTCTTATATTCATATTTGATACTAGTCTGGGAAGATTAGTGAAAATGTCATTGACGATTGATGCAGTTTTGGTAAACTCCAGAGCCTTACACCCCCCCTGGAATTCAGTAGCATCGTTGTATAATCGGGGGCCTTGCAGTCAGATTAGCCTTTTGTACATGAGGAACGTGTGAGAATGACTGTAATGTGTTCAAGGTAGCATGAGTGCTTCAACACTTGCCAATTCCGATAATCAAACATTGCATATCAAATGGTTTCTTTTTCAACAGTCAATGCTGCCTTGACATCTTGTAATTATAATAATATTAATAATAGTATTATTACGATTACACAAAGCAAAATACTATTATTATCAATAAAAATCTTGTAATTACCCAACAAGATCTGCTCCGCATTTTGATTCCAATTAAAATATTTATAAGCTAAAATAAAAGACACCTCATACATATCAATACAAATAAAAAAAAGTACCTCTGGTTAGTTATTAACACATATTCTTTAAGAGACCCAAACCAAACAACAACACTCACGTTTTGTCACCTTGGGCTCTGTCAAAAAAAAAAAAATCAATTCGCGTCTGTCCTACCAAAAAAAAAAACCAATAGGATAAATAATTAATGAACAAATACAAACTTCTTTTTAAAAATTCTTTTAAAAAATGTCAAAATCTACAACAAAAAAAAGAAGACAAGAAAAAGAAATAACGGAAAGAGAGTAAGTGTTTTAAGGATGGTGGTGGTTATCGCCCGCCACTTGTCATTAGTTTCATTAATACATTTAACCAATATATTAGAGAAAAAAAAATTAAAATTAAAGGTCGAAATGACCTAAAAAAAATTCAATAAAGCTAGGAAGCTCGATGAGCACCTAGAAAAAATTCGGCATGACTACATGCAGGACTTAAGAGATAGGTTCGGGTCAGTTCGCCAACGTGCTACTGCCCTGTACCTTATTGACAAGCTTGCATTAAGAGCAGGAAGCAAGAAAACTGGCAAAAAAGCAGATACTGTGGGTTGTTGTTCCCTCAGATGTGAACATATTACTTTGGTATCACCAAGGACAGTTGAGTTTGATTTCTTAGGTAAAAATTCAGTAAGATATGCAAACTTGGTAGAAGTAATAGAACAAGTTTTCAAAAACCTTAGAATATTTATGAAGGATAAGGAATCCAGTGAAGAGTTATTTGACAGATTAACGGTACAAAAATACAAGATTTAAATTTAATCAATCACATATATGTGTGTGCATTTGTGTTTGTTCTATTAATAAATTCAAATTTTCTTTAAAAATTCATTTAGGCTCAAGATTTGAATAAACATTTGTCTGAATACATGAAAGGACTAACCATCAAAGTATTTCGTACATACAATGCATCTTGTACCTTCCAAATTGAGCTAAAGAAAGGGATGGAGAATGCTACTACTGTAACAGAGAAAATAGCAGCATATAAGAAAGCAAACAGACAGGTTGCTATTTTATGTAACCATCAACATTCAGTCAGCAAAGATCATGATAATCAAATCAATAGAATTGACAATAAGGTATTTTTTTTTTATCATGATTATTGTTAATTTCTTAAATAAATTCACATGTATGTATTCTTTAATATGTTAGATCCATGCTTTGAAATACCAAAGAAATATATGTAAAAAGAAAGAGCCTCAACTATTTGAACCAGAATCAGACATGGAAGAGGAATGAATAATTGAGCATGAGAAGCAATTGATGGAAAGGGAACGTTTGGCAGTTGTAAAAAAATTTGAAAGAGATAATGAAAAGCTTACAGAAGAAGGAAAGTCACCTAAACCTGATGAGCATCTTGAACAATTATTAAAAAACATTGATGAAAAAGAGAAGGTGTTGGAGAATGAACAAAAATCTGGAAAGGTCAATCCAAGAAAAGGACAAACAAGTGAAAAACTCCGGATCCAAATAGAAAAATTGACAGTATGTATTAAAACCACCAAGTTATTAAAACAAGATAAAGAGGACAACAAGACAACTGCATTAAGCACATCAAAAATCCATTACCTAGACCCATGGATCTCTGTTGCATGGTGCAAAAAATATGATGTGCTGATTGCTAAAATTTTCAACAAGTGCCTCCATGAAAAGTTCCAGTGGGCATTGGATGTAGATGTGGATTGGGTGAGTATTTTTTTTTTTAATTAATTTTATTAAATAATAATATATTTAAAATTATTTTTATTATTTTATAGGAATTTGCAGTTATTTTCATTTGGCCATTTTTGCTTTTGCTATTTTAAACTTGTGAATTTGTACATTGTGCTTGGTATTAAATCTCCACCTGGTGGATGGTTATATTTTTTGTGCTGATAGAAATTTTTTTATAATTTAGATCTGATGATAGTAAGGATTCTATTATCATCATCATTAGCTATATTATTATTATTATTAATTTAGATTATAAATATGAAAGCTACAATTTATATATATACTCCCTCTATCAATTTCATTTTAATTATAAAATAATGATAATTTTATATTATAATTAATAAAAATAGAGACAAGAAATTTCAGAGGACTAAAGTTTAGTGATACAAAATAAACTTATTTTATTCCTGTAATCAATCCAAAGATATATAAATTCATGCTAAGCTTAAAATCTTGTTTTCACTTTGGCATTGACTTGGTTGTACTGGTTTTATTCAATTTCAATCTGGCTGATACTTTTCTAGTTAAAAAAATTAATTAATAATAATTTCTGCCGATCGGTATATATATTCGCGTTCATATATATAGCCTCCTTTTATTGGAATATTGTTATTATTATTATTATTATTATTTTCTCATAAAATTTTTCCCTCTTTCCTTTAATTTTGAAATGTTCTCGGAATTATTTTATTATTATTTTGTTGTCATTTTCTTTATTTTTTATTTTATTAATAATAATTTATGTACTTGCTTATTTCTTTAGTCGAAAGGCTTTTCCCTTGGAAATTCGCTAAGTTTTTTTTATATTGTTTGTTTATTGTTATATTGTTTGTTATATTGTTCACATTTTTCATCGTTTTTTTTATAAAAAATTTTTTTATAGTTCTTTCGATCCTGCTTTTCTCTTGTCAGTTCTCTTTTCTCCCAGTAAGAGTAGAACTGTGGACCGATACCCTTTTGAATTCCTTTTAATCCCACTTCTCTGATCTTTTTGATCACCGGATTTGATCCCCGGCTAACATTCATTTTTATGAATTTTTAAATTTTCCCTTTCCTGTTCTAAATTTTGTTCGACTATCGTTTTCTTTCTTTTTACTGGTTTCTTGGCAATTCTTCCAGTTTATCGAAAAGAATTGTCATTGTTAGCTGGCAGGTGGCCACCTTTTGGTAAGTTTTTATAATATTTTCATAATCCCGAGAACAAAATTATAATTTTAATAATAAAATAAATTTTGAAATATATATTTAATATTTGTATTTATTGATTTGTATTTTATTGATTTGTATTTTATTGATTTGTATTTATTGATATTTATAAAAATAAAATCCAAATATTATAATTATTGCTACAGTGAACCCTCCCTAAGTGCACCCTCCCTAAATGCACGCACTATGTATACCCTCCATAAATGCACGGCCCATCTCATCCCCAAGCTTATAGAGAGCTTATAAAATCACCCTCCGCAAATGCACACCCTCCATAAATGCACGCTCACAAGAAATAGCACTATGTTCCCGAGGGGGTGCACTTATAGAGGGTTCACTGTATTATTGTTATTATAACCATTATTATTGGTCGCGAGCAAAATAATTTGCAATAAAATAAATTTGAATGATCGATTCGTATTTGGGGGGTGCTCTGGGAAAAACGGGATTTCGAGTAATATATTAAAAATTTTTTTTTGTGCAAAAGATTATAATGTATTTTGCGCAGAATATCCAATTTTATTGGTGGGTTGGCCTTATTTAGAAATCGATTTGGAGCTAAATTATTATATATACTTCCTGTTTTTTCTGCAAAAGTGCAAAACGCTGATCAACAATGTTCAGTGTCAAGCTTTGGTGACGGATCAAAAATTATATGAATTAATAAGCGTCATATGTCATTTTAGCTTTAGCATCGTTGTTCCCTTCCTTCATTTTGTTGCCATTAAAAGGTGAGAGACGAAAAACATCAAAAGTACATCACAATGCTTGTTTCACACGACAAACATAGTATTACTAATTGTTACATAGAGAGAAAATGCTAATAAAACAAAAATTAAAATAGTATTAATATAAAGCAATTGTTGCATCTCTAACTACTAAATGTAATTTTTTTTAACCTTAAGAGAATCTAATAATTCGTTAGCACTATTCTTCCCGATAATCTTGCGGTGAAGGTGTTCCTTTAGTTAATCATCAGTTAGCTAACAATGTTCGATAAAGACATCTGCATCAACTTTGTCCTACCAATTATACATGTAATTATTTTCGTCTTTAAAAGAGAAACTTACAGTAAAACCGTCTCTATTTTTCTTTTTATTAATTGACACTTTTTACACATGCTAACTTATATCTATAAACAAAATTTATATAGTCAAAAGGCGTACCATGGTATCGACTCTTGTTAAGATAGTTAAATGGTCGAATTAAGGAAATCAAGTTCGTTATAAGGTTTCCAATCGAAACTACCTCTCTTAGTAGCCGAAATTACCAAAACACTTTGCGCAAAAATTAATTTTTTATAGGCCCAAACTATTTTTATTAATAGCCTAAATGGTGTGAAATTATTTAAATCAAAATAGGTTGATTTGTATGGTTTTTCCATGTTGATTCTTATAAAAAAATATTGAGAAGCCCAAACTATTGTCAACACTACTTTATTCGAAAATAGTTTGGACCGGAAACCTTAGTTCGTCACTCTATTAGAGAAATGTTTGTGTGATTCTCTTATATTCATATTTGATACTAGAGAAAGTTGAAAAGAATGAAAAGAAGGAAATTAAAAAATTCATCATTTTTTATGATTAGAGATTGAAATGTGATATCAATTAGTTTAAATCAGAGTTACTTATTCTATCATCATTACTTATTTAAACAGAATAATTATAAATAGACAGACCATTATTATTATTTACGATGTTGAGGTGTAGTGAATGCACAAGAACCTTTTCAAGACGCTCAACACTTGTAACCATGCAACAACGTAGCAATTAATATGAATGAGGAAGAAATTGATGATTATTATACGGATTAAGGTGTTTGTTTCGGCAAGCAGAGTTTCTATTCGTAATACAACTCAATCTTAATATTAATTCGTTTTATTCGAATAAACATTCAATGTAATTCGAATCATAACGAATAAAACACGATTGCCATTACAAAATGAAAATCAATTTTTTAAATATGGTTTGTCCTTTAATAGATTTATTTTGGCCGAATCTCGAATTAATTCATGTTATAATAAATATAATGAATATTGTGTAAATTATGTTTTAGAATACTTTATTTATTATTGTTATTCAACAGGCATTGATTTATATCATTAATAAATAAGTTAAAAAGTGTAAATCAACATTATTTATCAACATAATTACGTATATATCATTGATATGGTGTATTATTAGCATAGATCAACAGCACTTTCAAAATTTCCTGATGTTAGCAATGGTGATTCATTTACTTTGATAGTAGAGAAGAGAACATTGAGTCTATATGGTGCTCTTTCACAACTTTCATAATCATACAACAAGTAAATTGACTATGTAAAATAGTATTTTAAGATTTTAAAATTTTAATTCTAATTGATTTATTTTTTTAATTAAAAAAAATTTGCTAAAAACCTTTATTATATATAATAATAAATATACGTTGTATAAATATATATGCATTATTTGAACAAAATCAACGATACTACAAAAAAAAAAAAAAAAAAATCAATATAATTAATAAAAAAAAAAATAAATAAATAATATACCCCGAAATACCTTGATAAAACCAATATCTTTGGAATATTCACGGAAACATTGACGACATATGTTTAAATTGTATTTACGAATTAAACCAGCCCGATGGCTACACACACGACTACATTCATTAATTCATATAAATTTTAATGAAGAACTAATATTTGTATAAATAAAAATTATTACTAATTGTTACCATTCACGTGAGCCTTTTCCATAACGACGAGGACGAGAAAACCATACTTGATCATGAGCCATTTTCTTTTACTTATTGTTATTGTTGTTGGTTATGGTTGAATGTTATTTTCAAAGGTGATAAAATAAAAATTTTTAGAGAAAAAATTTTTTTATTGATTCTCACATGACTTTATAGATTTTTAAATTATGTGCCTCGGTTACACTATCCACCTTTTTTAGTATAAGATATTTACATTTCTATCCAATCAAAATAAAGAGCGGACCGGTTGTTTTGACTGTTCGTTTGATATATAGGAAAAATTTTATTTTTGATTACTAAATTCCTTTTGAAGAAAACAAATAAATTCGTTGATTGATCTTTGTAAAGGGGAGGGTTTTTTTTTAATTAAGAAAAAAAGGCTTAGTTTATCTTTTTTTAACAATCGAAATTTGGTAAAAAACTTTTGATGTTTGCATGAAGTTTATTCTTTTATAGCAATAGACTTGAAGGAAAAAAAATCCAATTGATCCCAATTGGTCTTTAAACTGGGATAAATAAATAAACACGAGGAAAAGATCAGGACAAAAAGATTTTTAACAATCGAAATTCGTAAATAACTATTGATTCACATGAGGTTTCTTCTTTGCAAAGGATCTTTTATTCAATTTATTAAATTCGCGAACAATTTCCCTTTTGTATTTGTAATTTTTTTTTAAATGAATAAATTTTTTGCTCAACGCAACGAATGAAATAAAAGCATTGATATAATAATAATGTGACTGGCTAATTTGATGCTCCAAACGAATATATAGATACCTCACATTTGAATGTAACGCGTAAAGCCAAATCATACATAGAACGTCCCTCGAATTTGAATGCAACGTAAAAAGCAAACCCAATACACCTTTTTTTTGCGATTTTTTGGTCCACGAAATGGGGATAACGGGTCTATTTATGCGTTTTTGTTTGTAATTTATTATACTACTCGATCAATGCACCATCTGACCATGAAATAGTCTATTTTTATTAAAGTTTGCATTACACGATAGTATTTGTACCCGGTGCTAATTTTGATGCTCCGAACGAATATATATGTATGTGATTGAGTCTTGTGATTTCATGTTGTTATGACACCAAAGAATATTATTGCTAATCTGTATTTCGCGAAACTCACTGTTACGTTTTCGTTTAAAGGTTGCTAATTAAATTAGATGAACAATAAGAATTATTAATAATAATAGTATTGTTTGCCTATTCCTATTAACAGAATAATTTGATGTTGATTATGTTATGCTACAATTGATACTTGCACAATTAATATTTTGGTGTTAAATAAATCAAAGATTCTAATTGTATTATTACTCGGAAACTCTTATGTCTATTCATTATCACACCATATTTCAATATGGTAAAAGTTAATATAATAACACTAAAACCAATATAAGTAATTATGATTATAATAATTTATTATTTAATCGCTCAATCGGTAGTAAGTCAATCTGGTGTAGCCGAATAATAATATTTTTAAGTTTGTGTTATTATTTAACGCTTTATTTTATTTAAATTTTATATTCAAAAATCTACCTGTTCAAAGATATTTTTCTTTAAGAAAGTAAACTTGGTATATATTTTTTTTCCAAGAGAAAAAACGCGTTTGCAAACAATTGATTATAAGACGTAGACAAATAAATGGATAAAGGCAAGTTTGTTGAAGAAATAAAATTTAGTGGATAAAAATAAGTTTGTTGATTAAAATAAATTTAGGGGTGAGGACAAGTTTGTGTAAGAAAGCAGGTTTGTGATGATTATTTTTTTTTTCTCGGGGAAAAATGTAAAAAAGGTAATTTTTTTGTGAATATCATTTTCCATATGATTCACCGATAATCAAATCGTAAAAGACAAAGGACAAAAATAACTAACAGATAATTTAAATTAATTTAACAAATTAAAAAAAAACCTAAAAATGTATTTTTTAACTGGCTGATGATTATTGCTCTTGAAAAAATTTCACCTCTCCTAATATAAATAATAATAATAATAAAAATATCAAAGAGTGAGCAATAAAGTTTTCTCTATAATGTATGTGAATCATAATTACGTTATTATTATTATTAAAAATATTTGGAAAGTGAAATTGTTCTTTACGTTGATTTTCATCAGTTCTTCAATTTTTGATATAATAATTAATCCGACTTTTGCATATGAGACTGCAATAAATCATGTTGAATCAAGCAACAATGGCCTCAAAGTAGTTGATGGGATTAATTATCAGGATGGAACAATTTTATTAAGATTGTTGAATCCTTTAAATTACTGTAATGAGAATACAATCTATTTACGATTAGTCCATACAAATGAAACTGTTACAACTTTAAATTTAAATAATTTGAACATTCCATGGGAAAATTTTTGCTACAAACTTGCATTGGTTGCTAATAGTAAACAAAGTAGTGGTGGTAGCAGTAGTGGTGATAGCATTACAATAAATGCTATAGCTTATAAATATATATTAATAAATTATTTTTGTAATCGTTCCATTTCTAATAAAGTTTGTGGTGATGTCGTTACTTGGACTGGTGAATTAGTAAGGTAAACAAACGATTTGTATGTAAACTTTACTATTTTATTGATTTCACATCTAACCAGATTCTAAATCTATAAATATAATAATTAGTAATATTGAATTTGAGAATGTATGTGATGACAGTATAATTATTCAAAGCCATAAAAAAGATGATGGATTTTTGCGTGTGTGTTATGTTAAAGATACAAAAGAAATCATTTGGACAAAATACAGTGTACCGTAAGTAATCCAATTCCTATTTTAAATTTCAAAAATTTTTTTCTTCCCTATTTCAAATTACCTTTCCCCTAATTATTTTCGTATTACATAGAAATATTTCTACTGGTACAATATTAGAAACTTCTACTGGAAAATTAACAGATATAACCAACTTTAACCCAAACATTACAAAGTTCTTTTCAAGAGAAGATGGAAGTTATGCCATGGTAACTTGTACAACTGACACAAAAACAACTACTGATAGTAATCAATTTACTGGAGATTGGACAATTGCTGTAACATTTTTATCTGTTGATGATAGTTTGCAACCAACAGGCCCTTTTGAGTTATATAAAAGTAAAACAAATGGTAATGGTTCGATTGATATTGTTAATATCCATAGGTGTGATCTCGCCTATTACTTTTCAGGATACAGTTGTCTGATTACAATTGTTAGATCAACAAACATATCATTTATAGATATTGATTTCACATCTTCTGGTAACTTGTATTCGGTAACACCAGAATTTTCAATTGCTCAAGTTTCAAATACAACAACAACAATATGGGATGTTCAAACATTGTATTATGGTGGATATGTTATTTTAGTAGAGACTGTTCCGACTGGTAATGTTGATGGACACATTTGTAGTAATAATGGCACCTATTTTGGAAATTGGAGCTTCTCAAGCCAATATCAATACACTAATAAAATTGCAGGGGTTCTGCCTGACAATACACTATGGACAATACCTAAACAACCAACTGACGATTATTCTTGGACATGTTTATTGACCGATGCTTTAACCAATTATAGTACAGTTCAAGGTAATAATGGTAGTTTCAATACTATTAGTGGGTTTCCTGGTGGTCCTGGAGGTTATGGATCTGATAGTATATTGTCAACAGTGCCAGAAAAAAATTCAAGCATAATTTCTGCAAATACTGATTCAATCACAATAACTTATACTAAATCAGTTAAAAAATCATCAGGAAATATTAATATTTACCAATTACGTTCTAGCACAAACATTAATATTAATAACAATGATGATTACTATGATGAGAGTGAAGATTTATTGCGTCAATCATGCTCTGGTCAATCTGATTATGTTCAAATCGAAGGTAACACTGTTCAAGTCAAAGTTTTAAAAAGTACCTTTAATAGCCCCGGAAGTGAATATTATGTGACTATTGAAGATGATTTTGTTAAAGATTCTGTAACTAATCAAAATCTTTTTGGCATAAAGCCAAAAATATGGGATTTTAATACAGGTTTTTAAAATTTTTTTTATAGAGAAATTGTTTTATTGATCTATTTATAATTTAATTTATACAATACACTTCTAATATGTATATATATATAGTTATAGTCAGGAATGAATTGTATGTTAATTATGATTCAAGTTCCGTTAGTTGCATAATTCAATTAACACCAGAGGGTACAACATATTACACATCATTATCAATAAATGATCAATTGGATTTTGTTGGCAAATTGTCAAATGAATTATCCAATGCACTTCCATGTGATATAGCACGTATAAAAATATCAACAAAATATCAATATAGTCATAACAACCATGATAGTATCAATGACAATCTTAGTAAGATCATATTCAAAAATTATGAAATGAATATCACAACTAATTCAACTGATCAAATATTTATGAGAATTGATATTGAGGGAACATCATCAATAACAGAATTGAGTGCAATACAATTAGCAAGTGATTTGAATGAATTGATAATAAATAAAAATGCTACGTTATTATCTAAAGGATTATACACTAATTTGATTGATTCTGGTTACGGGGCTGAACAACTAGACAGTTCCAAGGAGAATTTTAGATGGATTTTCATGATAATATTTATTGGATTATTGTTGATAGTGTTTATTATTTTATGTATATTAATAGGAACTCGTAGATATAAATCGGTAATTATATTATGCATCAAATTGATTTATACTTAACAATTAGGTATAATAAGTATATATTTTTCACAAGTATTAACTAATTATTTTTTATAATATTAGGCACAAAGCTTTTTGGCAACTACTATGTTCATATTTATCACAACAGATTTTTGTTTGGATATTGTCTTTGTATCTATACATGGAAAAGATTTCAAATGGTTATATCTTTCAAGGTAACATTATTAATATTTCTGATATTTTAAATAATATTTGGTGTTGGTAATAACAATATATTTCTCCGTCATCAATTTTCATCATTACTTTCCACCCAATTACCCCATTTATCCCACAGTATTACATTTATAATATTACCAATTGTGTTCAACATGTTGTTTACATTTTTGATAATTGCTTGTAAATCATCAACCTCATCATTGCTGATGAAAATATTTTATTTTATTTTATCATCAATTGATTTGGATTTACCATTTATATTGGCACCACATTATTCATCATACAAAAAGAGCAATTCAGAAGTGTCACCAGTTTCTGATACCTCAACAACTTCTTCATACTCTTCTTCCTCTTCCCCTTCCTCTTCTTCTTCTTCTACAAAAGAAAAATTATTAATATCCTTTAATAGTGATGATAAATTGATATTTATTGGTAGAGTGTTTAGCTTGATGGTTGAAGATAGTGTTCATTTAATTATTTTGGTAAGCATATATTTATTATTATATTTATAAAAATTTAATTGCAATTTTCAATTTTAAATACTTAATTTTTTATTTATTAATTTCTCCATATTACAATTATAGATATTGTATCAAGAATTTTCGATAATTCCAGCTATAATACCAATGTTATCTTTTAGCGCATGCACAACTGTATTGACACTCAAGTTAATTCTTATTATTCTTGGATTATATTTGCATTTACTTTATAAAAATAAGCGAGCGAGAAAAGGCTCTAAAAGAAGAAGAAGAAGAAAACAAACAGATAGTTTTGGCAGTATTATTGGTGGTGATAGTAGTGGGCGTGATGAATATGATGATAGGAAATTAATTATCGATAACAAAAAAAGCGGCAGTAGTAGAAGAAAGAAAAGTTCTAGTATTAGTAGAAAGGGTAGCACTGATGATACTTATAGCAGTTCTGAGAAAAAGAAAAGGAGGAGTAGTAAAAGTAATAAGGATAAAGAAATAACATCAATGTTTGATGAAGATTATAAAAAATCAAGGTCCATTAATAAAGAAAAGAACGTTGCCCCTGATAGTAATGATGATACTAATCTTACCAATATATTATTTTCATCGCCAATATTATTAGATACACCAACATCTAATATTGGCGATGATCCAAAAAGTAGTGAATCAGAAGCAGCAAATGGCAAGGACATTGATGATAACAGTAGTAATAGTAATAGTGATTCTCAGAGACCTGAAGATAGTGATTATGAAAATCAAGGTGAACCTGTTGCAATTTATAAAAACATCACAAGTGGAATATTAGAAACTGAAGAAGTTGGTAAATCATCAACAGGAATTGTTGTACCTTCATTATCGCCTTCTTATACACCTAATATATCACTTGATACATCATCATCCGCATCAACAAAATTAAGCACCACCCCGTAATAAATACATCTCCAACATCAATGGTATTAAATGATGATAATAAATAATGCCAATAATAATAATATAATAATATCAATAGATGCGGGTTTTTGTGATAATAAATGTAAAATAATAGTCATTTAGTTAAAGATTTAAATTATTTTTTTGATTTTTAATATTAATATTTAATATTCGATTTTTCATTTATTCTCAATATAAAATTTTTTAGCAATATTACAAAGATATTTAAAAAAAAATATCAAGAAATAAAAATCTATTTAAAAAAAAAATTATGTATGAATTGTTTGAGCTTTTTAATCAATATATATATAATCTGCCGTTTTCAACCCATTTTCCTTTTTCAGAAGGCCCACCAGGAAAATACATTTTAACACTCGATTTCATTCCATTTCCATCAGTTCCGCTGACAAGAATATCAATGAGCCCACACCCGACTTTTTTGACCCATCAATCACGAAATAAATTTCAGATAGGCAATACTTGGTTGGGAGTGGCAATTCTACCGCAGTCTGAGATGCAACCTCATAATAATATCTAAATTCTTTGAAGGGCTTGGGTTTAAATCAATGTTGCCAGTGATCTGAATACGCGAAATATTCATCAACAATAGGCTCGTCATCTGCAAAACTGAACGATCGTCCCCGTAATTTCTTACGATTACTGTGTAGAGGGAATATCGATGGCTGACGGATCAATCGCATGCTAACCCAATTCGTGGCTTAGTTAGTCAGTAGTGCATATTAACATCCTCTTCCATTCGTTCGTTCGTTCCAATACTTTTTTTTTTTAAAAAAAAAATAATAATAGATAAATAATATCAACAAAAAATAAAGTATAAAATATAAAGTATAAAATATAAAATAAATGTGTCAACCGTCATCAGTCTCTACCAGTTCGCCGTCGAGATGGCCGACACGAAACTTGATGGTCTACCTTTACGAGCAAAAAGTTCACCACCTTGATGGCAAGTGAGGTCTTCCTACTCGCACTTCTGTTGACCGATCACCTAGATGGCAAACCGGCAAACAGGACTACGATGAGGAGGTCACCGTCTAGATGACCGGCATGGATATGTGGGCAAAGTAAAATTGTTAAACATAACGTGAACGATTTTTTATTTCACGCTCTGCATTGAAATCTCGACATCTCAATAAAAACTAATGATATTAAAAATGAAAAAATAATGACATTTAGTATCATTCCAATTCGGGAATTTTTAGTACTTGGCGGACAGTCGTACCCATGGGTCGAAGTACAAGCCAATTAATTTCTTTCACTAGTTCTTCCTGTTTTGTGATCTCAGACTATATAAAAAGATATAATAACTATATGAATATTTTGAAAAAATAGTAGTATCCAATAAATTTCAATACATGCGTGAAAAATAGCTATCATTCTAAGGACACCTTCAGCCATTAAAATTGAAAGGCATAACAGCAATGGAAAGCTCACTTACGAGGAAACGGCCATCGGAAAGCATACTTAATGCATATAAGATTAATCGAGCATCTGAAAAGATAGAAGCAGTGTATGAGAAAATGCAATCACTAATGCATGAACATAAATTATGCATTCTACTCACTGATAGATTGAACACTGTAAACCCTAATTTTTGTTGCTAGACTTATTCTACAATCAAGGTGGTTTCGTAAAACTGCAATCAGATTTAAAATATAAGTGTTCATGGCTTTCTTCACATTGCCCATAACATGTTTATCAGTGCTTTACATGGAGGACCCGCTACCTCCATGTGAAATATATCCAAACTATCAGACATTCTCATTCCCTTAATGTCTACTTTTACAATTCCTGAATTAGTGGATGACCTCATAATTTTCACGGTATGAGCATATGATTCAATCCAATAAAATTCAATTAAAGAAAATGTTCTCTCATAGAACTTGTGTAGTGAGGAAATTTGGTATACTATGTGTTTACCAGTGTTGTGGAATTGGAACATTGTAATGTTATTGTAATGTTCCAATGTAGATCTTCAATTGGTATTGACCAATAAAATTCATGCGTGTGACACTGTAATTGAATTTCATTGGTTAACTTCATTGGAACCATATTTGGAATGCTCCAATCCCAATTGGGAAATTATTAGAATGCTCCAATGAAATTTTTATTGGAACCATAAATGGCACAACACTGGTGTTTACATTTGCCAATGTTTCTGCTCATTGAAGGAATAATGTCTATGAGATGGAAACTAAAATGAAAATAGTTGTCAGTATCATCCATCTTTAATAAAGTAATATATATTAATGTTTACATACAAATCAATGAAATTTTTTCACAATATAATCAATATTCTTTCACAACATCTGATACTTTAATTTGGGATTTATTTTTAAAAGTTTCATTATTTTCTTCAATGACAGTATCAATATAATTCTCCAAGGTTGCTGTCCACACATCTACTTCTTTTGTTAAATCTTCAATTGTTCTATCAGCTGCATATATGATGGAAATTTTTTGGACATATCTGTCACACAAAAAAGGAACAAACATATGCTAGGATGCCTTCTATTTGTAAAAAATGTTACATAGAAAACAAAAAGAAATGTGACTACTGTTGAAATTCCTCTTTTTCAAATGGTCTCTTGTCAGGTGTACTTAACAATGGTGTTCAAGCCTGAAAAATTTGTGGTGGAATTTGTGGGGCTACTAAAGTTCCTACAGGTAATAAAGACCTGACTGCAAATGAGTTTGAAAGGCATTAGTTTTTGTGTTGAGGTACACTGTATCCTGTAGGTGGGTGATAACATGTTAAGTATTAAATTAAAAAACATGTGAACACATGCATATCAACTTGCTCTAAATTTGTTATAACATCCAAATTTGTAATGATCTACATTTTAATTTAATGAATTTAATGTGAAACATAAAAAATAAAACTAATATGTAGATAATTCAAGCAATAGTAAATAAATAACATTTCTAACTATCATTAATAAAATGAATAAAGGTGTAAGCTGAAAAAATTTTGGTCCTTGTATAGTATGTGGTGATCAATATATTATATAAACTCTATATTATATGTTGTTAAGTATATCAATAATTGGATTTTGGTGAAAATAAGCTGTGAAATCAATCCTTTTGTTGATCTAATCAGTCCTGATGAAAGAAAGAAAAATTTTAGAAGAAATTTTCTTTGAATTTAGACAAGTAATAAAAATAAACGAATTATTATTATTATTATTTAAATAAATTTAATAAATGTTGCATGCATGATTGGATAATTATTGTAATAGAATATGTTTATAATGCAAAAAGTTGCAAGTTAGTCATCTTGATTGGTGCAAAAAAATCTTATATTAAAGGAAATCGTAACAATCCTTAAAATTATTTATCACAAAAATAATTTTATTAATAGAATTTTGATGTTTGGTCACTAAAACATTTTCGGAAAATAAACTCACAATCAATTAGTGTGACAAATTGTTCCAGGATTTTGACACCTTATAAGCAAGTTTAAATTCTTCTAAATTAACCTTCAAAGAGTTCTTAACAAACTTTATAAAGCATGTTTTAATACATGTATCTACATCAAGTTTGTTTCATTCCACCTTCTGTTTGTATGACAATCTTGAGATAAGTGTCAATAAAACAATACTTTCAGCTTGTCATAGAATAACCAATATTTAAGCTAGATTCTTGCTTTAACAATCGCTTAAAAGTTTTGGTTTAGCTTCATGTTTTTTTGTTTAATATAAGAAAGTTATTTCCTTAGTGGAAGATGTAAAGTTTTTTTAAAAAAAAACAGGTACATAGGTAAACTTGATAAGTAAGCCGCGAATGGCTGAGCATGTTTGGCTGACTTATCAAGACATAAAAATAAAATAAAAATTAAAACAATAATTATTTATATTAATTTTTTTATCATTTTTATTATATATATATAGAATTTCAAAAGTTTGGAAAATCAACCAACCTTTTTTACATATTTCCGAACACAATAAAACATAATAGAAATAAATAAATGTATTTTTCACAATACAAACAAGAATATTCTTTCAGACAATAAATTATACAATCTATGATATACAAAAATGAAATAATAAAATATCGCGACAAGAATTTCTAAATCATCAGATATAATGTATGATATAAATAAAAAATCATACATTATTAAAAGTAGTAACAATGATCTTCTATGTCACGTGAGGCTGACTTAGTGAGAACAAATTTACTTATCCTAAAAAGAGTGACTTACAACTTATCGCGACTTTATAGACTTATCAAGGGATTTTAAATAGGAAAAAAAGGGCTGAAAAATTTTGGCTGAGTTAGACCAAAACCGACTTATCGTGGAACCGGACTTACCAAACAATTTTCGTAATGTTACACGTATTAATGGACATTGCATATAAATGTAAATTCATATTGACTAATGCAGTTAGGGTTTCTAACCGCTTAAATCCAAATATTCGTATATAGATACTTGTAATTGTTTTGGATACTCGTAATTATTTCTAACAAACCATTGTTAATGTTTTCTTATTCTTTAATTGATAAAGTTTCTTTTTGACATCATATCTCTTATATCAACTTGATTGTTCATTTCAAGCTATATCAAAAAACTATTTAATATAAAAAAAATTATCATTTTTTATCAGGTGTAACTGATCATGAATACTCAAAATAAATACAAGTACCCAAAAATAATTACGAAATAAATTATATTCAAATATCCTTGAATAAATTGATTTTCAAAATATTCGTAAAAAAATTTGATTTATATTAATACTAGATACTAATACAGGTCAATGTTATTTTCACATTGAGAATTTTGCGTAACATTAAGGACATTATAGAAAATCAGCGTTAGGTAGTCAAGTTGACAAAAGATGGTTGGAAAAAGAACATAGTAATATTGAATATTATAATGATAATAACGGTGGTGGTGGTGATAACATCAATGGTAATATTAATAATATTGGTGGTGCACAATCAGTTGGTTTTTTGTTAAATTGGTTAGTTAACTTTAATGATGCTATAAATTTTAAATCAAATATACATACATATATATATATATATATACAATTAGACCTCTGTAAAGTCATGAATACAAAAATGGAATTATTTATTTATAATTTTTGTTTCCATACGTCTTCTAAGACTGGAAAAAATTTATATAATTTGTAATTTTCAGAAAAAATAATAAAACAATTATGACACTCAAGTGTGTTTATCATGTATACTGTGTATATTTATTATACATATTTATTCTTTATCCATACCATTTACCATCATTTCCAACTTGATTACTTTCTCTTGTTGGAATTACAGACTCATTAATGCCATAAACTTCTATAATATCCTATTAATAGTTTATTAATGGTTTTTAAATGATATTAATAATTAATTGATTTTAATTGATTTCAATACGACTAGAAAGTTCACCTTCCAAGTGTCCATATCTATTTCCATCACCAATTGTTTCTTGATCAAACCCTGAGCGTAATCATCACTTGTGGGTGGCTCACATAATGCTGCAATAACACGTATATTAATATTCTAGATAAAATTATAATATATATACTTTTTAAAAAAAAAAAAATCAACACTAACTTAGAATTGGTTGCCCGCTATCATCGTCTATTGAAACTTTTCCATCTCGCACCAAGAATGATAGGTAGAATATATTTTCTACTGTTTGCCCAAATGAATGAGGGTTTATGATAAAGTTGAAGAAATTGATGGGCTGACTTTCTCCTAGAACGTCATAGATCATTCTAACATTTCTTGTCGTTTCATTTTCTTGTCTTCTAATATCATTTTCTTTCAACTTGTATGTATATAATTTTAAGTGTGGAAAAAATGGATAAATAAATAAATAATAGGAAAGAAAGAGCAGAGAATATTATTTTGTTCGTAGAACAAGTAATAGATAACAATAAAGTACTTCAACAGGCGTTTTAAGATCTTTTTCATGTTTCTCAAGAACCCTTCTCACAGTCTTTTGTCTTTCTTTTTGTTCAATTGAAAGAGGTCCGAGACTTTTGAAATTGAAAAATTTGCATTATTTAGCATTGTTAGTGATTATTAGCATTAAAATTAATGTTTTAAACAGGCAATGCAAGTTGTGCACTATAATAAATCACCTTTATTATTTTTAGCAAAAAATCATTTTTATAATAAAATTTATAATTCAATAATGCTTACATGAATCCAGTTGTGGGTACCCTTAGAGTAGATTGTGCAGCAAGTTTACCAATTTTTTTCCAATCATAGTAATCTTCATTATCAGCATTTCTAACTTTCAAACGGCCAACTACTTTTGATATATAATCTTCTGTATCAAAGCAATTATTGTCCAATCTCATACGACGAGCTTTCTGTAGACCCAAATCACTCGACAACACCAAGAGTCTTGAATCAAGCGTTGCTTCATGTGTATTTTTTACTTTATTATAACATTAATATTGATTGTGTGAGCGAATATCTTTATATATATATATATATATATATTGAAGATGAGAATGTATTTTTTTTTACCTTTTTCATATAATTCATTAGCTTTAGCAATATTTTTTTCAAGGCCATCAGAATCAGGTCTTAAATATTCTTGACGTTTTTCTAATAATAAAAATGATATTGATATATTAATATTAATATATATGCTCATAAAATTTATTATAAAATATCACATACCCTCAGTTTCTTCTATAAGACTTCTATACTCTTTGCGTAGCCATCTTTTCTCGTTTTTATCTTGGTCAGGATCATAGATATTGCTCCCAATAATATTTTCATATTTTTTTAAGCGAGAATTCTGAGAATGTTCTTTTGAATTATTAGTATTGTTCATTACAACATCTTCCATGTCCATTGTGTTCTCTTTATCAGAATCGTTATTTATAGACATACGAGTTGATGGCATAATTTGGATTTTAAAAATTTTAAATTCAAAAAGTTTAAATGTTCAGAAATAAACGCGTAATTTAAACTTATTCTTCTTCTTCTTTTTGTATTTCAAGAACCATTTGCATCATTTGCACTTGGGGATATATAATAATATATATGGATATTGGATGTGTGACAATAAGTCTAATTTTACAATTGCCATATTTTTTTTTTGTTCTAGAAATTTTCTACTTAACGCGTGATTTAATTTGTGCCATACATACATACCTATATATTTATTGAAAATAAAATTGCATGGAATCATTCCATGGAAATTTTCTCTTTATTATTATTGATTATTTAGGTTTGAAAAAAAAAATTCAATAAATAAATTTGTTATTTTTTTTTAATTTTTTAAAAAATTAATAAAACTAGTCTGATATTTATATATAATTTATATAATCGCAATTAAATTATTTTTTTAAATATGGGAAAATCTAATAGTAAACTTAGTGAAGAACAACTTAAGGAACTTCAAAAATGTACATATTGTAGGTACTATTTAACATTTATTAATGGTAGTAATTTTAACGTTTGCAATTTACTACACGCATTCCTTAAGGATGATAAAAAAATTTTATTCAACTTAATTCGCCTCTCTTCTCATTAACTAACTAATTTTAAATTTCTTTTTGATTTAACAAGTTAATAAAAACGAACTCCAACAATGGTAAATAAATAATTTGATTGATTTGATTCACTTAATTAATTCAAGTATAATAATAATAATGACACACTATTTTTGTTGTTGTTGTCGTCATTGTTATTGTAAAGGTACAAAGGATTTCTCAAGGATTGTCCTACCGGCGAACTTGACAAAACAGAATTTCAAAAAATTTATAAACAATTTTTTCCGTTCGGTGATCCTTCAAGGTTTGCAGAGTATGTTTTCAACGTGTTTGATGAAAATAATAACGGAAAAATTGATTTCAAAGAATTTATATGTGCGCTATCTGTGACTTCGAGAGGAAAATTGGATGAAAAACTATTATGTGAGTAAATATTTGTGATTTTATGTAATTGATATTTTAATGAAAATTTATTATAATGCTATATACAATAAATATCATTATAGGGGCATTTCAATTATACGATATTAATAAGGATGGATTCATAACGCACGAAGAAATGTTAAGAATTGTTGACGCCATTTATAAAATGGTTGGAAGTATGGTGAAGTTACCAGCAGATGAGGACACACCAGAGAAACGTGTTAATAAAATATTTAATTTGATGGATAAGGTAAATTATGATGATCATATTTTACATGAAAACGGTGAAAATATTAACAATCATTAATCCATGAATATTTAGAACAATGATGGTAAATTAAGTATGGAAGAATTTAAAGAAGGTTCAAAACAAGATCCTACTATTGTTCAAGCGTTAAGTTTATACGACGGTTTAGTATAATAATTAATTAATACACTCATGAGATAAATAATCCATCTATAATAATTATGAAAAAAAATATTTAGTTAGATGTACAGAAAAATATATTTATAAATTCTATTTATTTAATCATTTAATTAATATTAAAAATTTAAAATAAATATTTATTTATTTTATTTTGTTTTTTTTTCAAACAACTTTTTACGTTTTGAAAACTTGCTTCTTCTTTTTTTAGTATTTGTTGGGTCTGTGATTAATCCATTGAATAATCCATTGACGTCATCGGAATTTTGAAATCCACGAGACTTGTTATTTATTATATGAAATCTAATAATCATAATTATTAATGTGTGCGCTTGATTATACAACCACATTTAATATATAATTTAATTCTCATCGGAAAGAAATATTAAATTTTTTTTCTTATATCAATCTGCAATCAATGAAATGAATTATCTCAATCAATTAAATCAATCATTAATATTAAACAATTTTAGCGATTCTCTTGCTCTCATTTGCACATTCTAAGGTTTTGGCTAAATTCGAAACAAGTAGTTTCTATTTCATATAAATGCTTGTTGAACTCTAAAATCTGTTCCTTTCCGTTACTTTGTTTTCCCCCTAATATTATTATTCTTTTTATTTAGTTCTCTATTTTTCACACGACTACGTTCAACGTATAACATAATATTAATTTGTGTAATATTATGTATCGATTTGGAATAGATTAATCCATAAAACATTGTGTGCCATCTACATGCATTCTATTTTCATTTACTTCCAGTGAAATATTAAATTTTTGTTTCTTGCTTTTCTTTTTCATCTTTTGCTTTTAGATAAAAGTTTTAATAATTAATTGTGTAAACAATGTAAACAAGGGTTATTTCTATTACATAGCGCATAGTATCAAAGAGCTCCAAATCAGAGTTGGACAATATTATTTAATGTAGCTTTCATTTATCTGTATAGTAACATTCGTATCGAATTCAAATGGGCTGATTGTAATTATTTACTTTGCCTTTGACGGATAAATTAATCTACTAATTTCACAATATGCTACTTCGTATTGATCCATGTAGAAATAATATGAAGCTGTACCTTTTATTATTTGAATTTTTATCCTTTGGGCAGATATTCTATTTAAAAGATTTTTAGCCTATATATCTAGATTCTTTTGGAGGTTATGCAAAATGTGACATAAAACTTCAACTTTTTTTTTATATGAATGACCTGATTGGAATTATTGGAACGTTGATTCATTCTCTCAATAAAATCGTTTTTACTTTAACTTTTGAATTGACCAATGTACAATTTTGTTAGTTCCTCTTTTTAATTTGATAATTATCGTTACATATAGAATAAATTTTTGCTCGTATTTCAATTTTTTTCGTGAATAACTAACTAATAAAGATGTTTTGCACAGCGAAATTTAAGAAAATCAAAACAGAGGCCCGACTTTATAAGACTCTTGTTGATTTGCAGTTAATGTATCTATTTATTACTTCTATAATAATAAGGTGTTCATCTTTTGCTAACCGTACATATATCTATCACACAATTAAAAACACAAATAACTAATCACAGAGAGAGTTGAGTTGAATTATAAAAAAAGATTTTGTGATCAACCATCTTTAATATATACAATGTTGCGCCTCGATAACTACCATTTTAGGTAACTCACGTGACAATCAAAAAACATTATTTCGTCTTTTTTGAACAATCAAACAACAAACAAACAATCAACCAATCAATCGATCAAAGATTATTAATCATCATTATGCTATATATAATAATAATAATAATAGAAGAATTGTTATTCGCACCCCTCCCGTGACTAAGACAAATATGAACCAATAAAATCATCACATTTTAAAGCCATTCATTGGTCACATTACTACACTTAGTCACGGGAGGGGTGCGAATAACAATTCCCTAATAATAATGTCGTAAATTTGTTTTACTAGTAATCACATTGGTATATTATGCATATAATGTATTTAATTTTTTTAACATTTCTCGACCCCGGAAAGAAAAGAATTGCCTGGACAATCTAATGCTCTGTCTGGTATTATCATCATCGGTATTTAATTATTAATTCTTGAGAATGTAATATAAGATTAATTTATATTATACTGTTTTATTTTGTATATTTTATATAAGCAAACTTATTATTCACATTAACGTTAACTTAATGTTTAACATTCATTCAATTAATAAAATTGATGATTGGTTAGATAAAAATCATTATGTTTTTTTTCTTTCTAATCTTCCTTCCCTTCTAATTCAGTTTCAAGTGTATTGATGCTTACATGTTATGTCACTTATAGCGTGCCAGCAAAATTATATTTAATTGATACGATGCTTTACAATGATTGTATTAGGAATTATCGTTTTTTATTTTTATTTTCATTAAAAAAATTTTTTTTTATAATCAAGTTATGATGAGTGAATCTTGATTTTCTAGCATCTCGTCTGTTTAAGACATTTTTACTTTCTTTTTCTGCTGCTTCCACATCATCTCGAATATTGTTTAAACTTTTAAAATCATCCAAGTTCTAAATATTATAAATCAATTATTATCATAATCAACATCAATTACATAAATCATCATTGTCATCATCATCATATAACTATAACATATATTTATATATACCTCAAACTCATCTTCAAACTTTTTAAGCATTTTAGCCTTCCTTTTTTCCTTTTTAGAAACATTCAATCGAATAAAATTCTCCTCCTCGTATCTATTTCGTTCTTCTATCACCTTATCTACTTTATCTCGTATCCGAACTCCTCCTGGATGTTGCAATCCACCAATAATATCGGATTCTTCTGGTCGATCATCATATTCCAGCATCAAATCTTGAACTAACCGAGAGTTAGATGCCTTCCAAAGAATACGTGCCCTCTCTTTTTCTTGTTTTGATTTGACTCCTACAATTATATTTGTGGGAATTATTTTGAGAGGAGAAATTTATATAAATCCTATTTTTATTTATGAAGATCATAATTACCTTTCTCTTCAAAATGTACCGGTGCTAATTTAGGTGCTTTATAAATTTCATCGGATTTCTTTCCACTGTTATTATTATCTAATTAATGGCAATCACGTAAATGTAATTATTTGTATGACCATAATTATAAATATGTGTCTCTAAATATCTAATTAATTAAACTTATAGATCACCTTTAGTTTTTTTATTAGGTTCTATCATAAGATTTTGAGGATTGGGCTTGAAGGAAAGAGGGTTTGTCACTAAGTTGATAAATGATCAGTTAACATGCATATATTATTTTTTTAATATCAATCGATCAATTATTATTAGCATTATAAAAAATATTACTTGTAGTGGAAATAGTATTTATTATTCTTTTATCCCCAACTTTATCAAAATCTTCACCTCCTTCAACATCATCTTTTTCATCATCTTCATTATCATCTTCATTATCATCATCATCATCATTATATCCTTGTTTCTCTGACAATAATGTTGATCTTATCAATTTATCAATTTGATATTTCAATTTCTGCTCTATGGGTTTTATTTTTTCCAATACAACTCTTAATTCAACAAGATTGATTATAACAGGGTGATTTTTAATCGATTTCCCATCAAGTTTCAAGTGTACCAGATAGCATAGATTTGTAATGTATTGGAGTAAAGTGTGATATTTTATATCAAGTAACGATATTCCTTTATCAACTTTGAATGTTCTAAAATATTATTATTATTTATTACGTTAACTGTAATAATCGTAATAATTAAAAAGAGAGAAAAAAACCAATCTTTACTTTTGCTTTACTAAATCAACTTGTTCCTTCATTTCTTTTATTTTTACCCTTAACTCTTTAATTATTTTATTAAATTCTAAAATTTCAGCATTTGAAATTGTCTTGACTGGTGTTTCTTCATTATTATCATCCATTTTTTTTTTTTTTTTTTTTTTTTAAATATATTTTTTGTTGAGGCTATTTTATGTTGATCATGACATTCTTGGAATGGGAATGATTGGTTGGTGGTGAATTTCCACCACCAAAACTGTGACCTGCCACCTTGAATGGAGATGACGGTTCAAGCCTAATGGTCCATGACATCGCCATGTCTCAATTCCACTCCTTTATAAATAAAATTAGGTTTTCGGTACATATGTTTACATAATAATTTATTATAATTTCATTTCTATTACTTAATACTCATAATATACTATTATTATTATCCATACCATTGTTTCTATTAATAATTTCTACCACTGTTATTATTATTATTATTGTTAAATCTTTCCATTTTCTACTTGTAATTCCTATTTCCGTTTCCCATTGTATGATACTATCACACCTCGCTTTCGCTTTCCAGATCTTTTCTTTGGATTTTTTTACATATGTTTCTTACCAATTTGCTTATTTTGTTTTTTGTTCTAAGCATGTTTTGATTTCACTTGGTATAAATCCTCTTAGTAATACAAGTATAGACGCTTCATTTAATAATAGTCTTGTTTCAAAGACTTGATATTTTTTTAAAAAAAAAAATTTTATTGCGATATTGGTATTAAAATCACACGACACATATAACTAATTTTTATCGTTATTGGGTGCTATGTTCAAGAAAAATACTATATAATCATTACTTTTGCATCAACACCATTAGTTTCAACAACAACAACATCATTAATGTTTTCATTATTTCCGTTATTTGAAGCACTAAAGTTAAAGCAAGCACGATTATTAGAAGAATCTTTTAAATGGATTATTTGTTAAGGGCAGCCAGTAAAGATGATCCAACTTCATCTCGATTATATTTTTTGCTAGAATATTATTATTATAATGGTTATTGAATGTCAAAGTGATGTTTTTTTTTCCATCAAACCTCATCCCTCACATATAAAAGTTGGATATCTGTTTTTCTTCCACCGTGGTTGGAAATTCTACGACTCTCTCTCCAAGTCTATGCCTGACTCTTTATATCCTCTCTGCATTAATATTGTTTGCAAGCCTTTTTTATCTTCTATTGCGTGATTTATCGGTTTTTTGTTCATGAAAGGTTCATAGATGATTTCCTCCGTATCAAAAATTGATTGATGTACTGTTTGGTATATAAAGCATTGAAAAAAATAAAATTTTCCTTTGTGCAAGGAAAGGAAAAAAGACAATAACACAAATGAGTTCGTTCAACGATAAAGATTTTTTTAGAAAACCATATATATATTAATTCACTGTGCTTGTTTCTTTACTCGCGCTTTTTTTTGACAGGGCTCTTATTAAACAACGTATTTGTACACATGTGCCCTAGTCAAGCGAAGTTTAAAAAAAAAAATTAAAAACTGCCAATTTCTATATTGAAACAAATTATGTCTATCATTCTCGTCATCATTATATCATGAAAATTTAATTACGTATTTTGTATTAACGTTATTAGCTTATATTAATATTAATGAGGTAAATTTTACTAATCTTATTTATTGACAAAAACCCATTACATCATAATAATAATAAATAAATATATTTTTTTATATAAATTCTCATTACTTTTCCAATTAACAATAAATAAAATTTTAATTTTAATAAAAAATTTGAAACAAACAAAAAACCATTTAAAATATTTAATTCTTAATCAAATATTAAATAATTCAATAAACATTAAAATGTCTTCGAAATTACCACCAAGAGATGATCCTGACCGTGCTGCCATAGAACGAGAAGCAATTGAAGTACGAGATAAAGCTGATCAAGTTTATGAAGCCTTAAAGTAATTAAATTAAATTAATTATCATTTATTCGTTAAATAAATATCTAACCTTTTTTTTTAATTGTTTGAAATAGGGACGGAAAACTTCCATCCACAGAACAAATCACTGAAACCATCGATAAAATTCAAGAATCGGAAGCTATTCATGATATTGGTCACGGCATGACTCCATTGGGTAAACGTGTATTGGCTGACACTGAAAAATTATTAGAAACGACAAAAAGAGTTCTCGATGAAAAAAATACCAATGATGAAATACAAAATATCGTTTACTATGGTACTCAAGGCGCAAGAGATATTAGCGGTACGAAATGCGTTAATACATTAATACATCAATTTATTAATTCATTAAAATTTAAAATTTTTATTAATATATTTATTTATTTATTTATATTTACTTTACACATAAATAATTAACAAATAATCAATAGGAACGAAAATTATTCCTGAAGATTTTAAACAAAAAGTTCAAGCAGAAACCTCAACTGTTCAACAAGATGTCTCACCAACAGTACAAGATGCTTTCAAAAAAATCCTTAAAATTCCTAATCTTATCATTTCAAGTTCAGAATTTCGTTTATTGATCAACGAGATTAACTCGATAGTTCAAGAAGCAATTTCCTTAAATATTCCAAAACAAGATGACTCCACCCCATCTGACAACAATAACAAAAAAATCCAAAAAACCTCCCATACTCAACAATCAAAAGATCCAAAAGAAGCAACCGAAGAAACCGCAAAAGATGTTGCCCAACAACTACGCGAAGGTACATATCCAATAGCAAAAAATGCCGCAGAAATTAGTGGCGAACATATCAGAGATTATAGTGAGGGTAAAAAATCATTAAAAGAAGCTGTTACTGATGGTGCATCGTCGTTAAAAACCGCTGTCCAAGAATCTGTTGCAAACTATCAACTTAGCAAGGAACAACGTGATCGATTGGTGACTCGTTTCAAGAATGTGATGATCGAAGCACACAAGAATCCAGAGTTTCAAGATGCAATTTCCGAATTATTGGACATGATCTCCCGAGTTTCACAACATACTCAAGAAGTCACCAAACAAATATCTGAAACTGTGACCGAAACTACATCTGAGACGATAGTTGATAATAGTGCAATTCAGATTGCCACTAAAAATGCCAAAGACTTGATTGAAAATTTTGCTAATAATCGATCGCTTGATCCATTGATCTCATCGCTCAGAGAACTTGGTACAAAAGTAAAAACTGATCAAGAAATGCATAATTATTTTAAAGATCTTCAACAGTTTGTTGTCAAATCACTTCATGACACCAACTTTGTACAGAATAATGATTATATTGAACATGGATCAAGATTGATTCAAGATGGTAGAAAAATTTTGCTGGAGAAGTATAATGATATCACCAATCGCATTCAGAAGGAGGCTAGCACCTTTAACAAAGCAATTCAAAAAGATAAAACTTTGTCCGAATGGACAAATGATTTTGATAATTTGATCAGTGATCTTTTCTTGGATGAAAAAGGAAGACCAACAGTCAAATATGAGGTATTAAATATTAAACGTTAAATGATTATACCTGGAAATTGGTTTAATTATTTTATTTTTCTTACATTTTTTAAATATATATATATATAGCTCGTTAAAGATTTTGCAAAAATTATTCCTGTTTTCGCCAATAAAATTCAATACGTGCCGCTTCCAAGAATTGAGAATTCGGATGAAGAATATGATTATGCTTTTGACAATTTTGTTCTTCATTTACCGGAAATTCTACCAAGACATCTTCACATCAGTTTAACATCTGACGTTAATCTGGATAATGAGGACGACAATATTCTTAAAAATTATGCTTCATTCGAAATGTATTTATATATTTCCAATTTATTTCTAATTTGTTGGTTACATTGATTTATTAATTTTCTTTATTATAAAATAATAATAATATAATTAGTTCTAAACTTTGTGCCGATGCACGTAACATTGCATTCTTTTATAAGAAGAAAAAAGGATTGATTAATATGATAGATGTAAGTATAAATATAAGGCTATTTAAGAACTTAGAATCTTATTTTCATCATCATTAATGTACACGAAAAATTTTATTATT